TCAAAACGCTTTGATCACGTGACTGATGACGTCACGTCCCTCTCTTGGTCATGAAAAAAATTATCAGGTAGAAAATTACTTTCCCGCAAATTTTCTCTGCTGTACCCTCGGCCTAGTCTCCCGACTTTTTCGCTCATGCTCATATATTACCCTCTTAAATTTTAAATGCCGGACGTCAACTGGTCATTTTTAAATGCCCCACACAACTAAAACCTCAAATGTGCTACAGTCGACTCTCTCTTAACGGACACCTCTATAAGACGGACAGCTCTGCAAAAAGGACACTTAGAGTTGGTCCCTGCCTTTCTTTACTCCTTTTATTGTACTCTCTATAAGACGGACATCTCTCTAAGACGGACACTTAGTGCCGGTCCCAAAGGTGTCTGTATTAGAGAGAGTTGACTGTATTTGTTTTTAACTCTTTAATGAAATCTTGTCACTGCAACAAAAAAACCTAATTGGGAAATAGTCACGTGACTGATGGCGTCATTACCTTAGATGTGATACGGGAAGATATTTTATGGCAAATGTTATCTTGTTGTGGTCTGACAGTCTTCTACGTATAAAATTGTCAAAGTTATATAGCTTTTTAAAAAATTGCCCCAAAGGATTCTGGGAGATTTTTATAATTATTATAATTTACTTTTAGAATTATTATCATTTGTCCCAAGGCCGCATTATTCTACGCGGCTAATGCGTTTCGGGTCACGTGGTCAGAGCGAAGAAGTGAGTGAGTGTTTCCTGCCCGTTCGCCATGGCGTCAGCAAAGTGAATTGACCGAGAAGGCCTGGGAAAACGCTGTACAGAGACCAGGCAACCTTCGCCCTAAAAAATCCGGCGCCTTCCATGCTACGCAGGATACGTCAGGAAAGTTAAAAGAGTTGCGAAAATTACAGCCAAAAGGAACTTCATCTGGTGACGTTGTTGCTTCCCATATTCAGCCACTAGTCGTGATTCTACTGGACATGGATACTAGAAAAGGGTCAGTTAAAGTTCAACCTTTTTATAAAAAAATGTTGAATCTTAAGTGTTACCGGATCGCTACAGGGCCCGACCGTCTCACGTCCACGTAATATAGCCACAAGGACCTGCACAATCTGTTCTCTTAATCAGGCTTTTTTTCCTTTTCGGTGTAATTTTTTTTAACGCTTTTGACTTCTCTTAATTGTGTCATAGTGCTAGCTATTATACAAAGATGACAAAGAAAGTAATAAGTAAACACATTGTTCAGCTACTGTACAATATATGTTTTTGAGGGTAGCTATCTAAGTCTTGAAAGTTAAGTGGAACTGCACATTAACCACAGGCATTGAGGTGAAAAGTTTATCGTGCCATAGCCATATTAGTTTCGTGGTATGAAATCCTCTTACCAGCTAATTGTTGCACTTCACAGTTTATTAAATTTTTGTCGCTCAAGAAGTGCCTTGATAAGATACAATCAAGTTCACAGTGATATTGAAATTGACCAACTTAGAACAGGCGTCATCGTTTAATTTCTTGTAGCGCGGTCATCTGAAATTAATGAGGTTAATGCGAAGTGCGAAAAACGTGAAGAGGAGAAAATGAGGAGTTCGTATTTTTGTGTGGGTAAAACTCTGTTAAACTTTTCTATGTTTACAAGAGAACCACTCGCACCCAAAAATTGGTGTATGAAATTCCCTTGAAATTGCGAATTTCCCTAGAGTAATAGACAAGGCTTCACATTGCCGCCGGGCGCATATTAAGTCGGAGGAGGGGGGTTAAACTAGATTTGTGCGGATCTGCCACTGGGACCCTCTTAGCCCATAGCAAACCAAGCTCAGGTGATTTTTGTGGCCTTATACTATAGACTAAGCTCCTCAAACCCCTCCTTTTTCTAGAGTTGCTACTTTCCAGAAACTACAGAGGTCGACACTTTCTTTGCTATTAAATTGAGTTGCGAGTAAAGTTCCAATTTGCCAGTTTCGTAATTTTGAGCAACGGACGAGGTTGATTTTTGAGTGTTGATTTTCATTTTCCCTCACTATAATAAATTTTCAACCAGCTGTTCAGTTTACTTCCCCCCCGAATGCATCATGAAAATACCGACGAATAAAAACTTCTTGAGCTAACAGCACTGATTCCGGCATTTATGTGAAGAATGTGAATTCGTAAACTTACAAAGAGTTTCATTGTAGAAAAAGAGTTTCCTTGAGTTTAATTGTGCCGTTTTTATCTCTTGTCACAGGACTAACCTCCCCGATTTGAAAGATATATTGAAAGTTAATGAACGCTCTATAAATATCCGATCAATAGGCTTTTAAGGTTCTAGAGCATTCTAAGTGTTTTCCTTTAAAAATAAAGCATGATGAATAACCAATTTGCTAATATTAAGAGTTTCATTTGGAAAGATAAATATTACCAGTGTGCTTTTTGAGAGTGGCTTATCCTTTAAATGGAAAAACGGAGTTAGCAAGAAGGAGTTAGCAACTGAGAAGAACGATTTGGAGTGTCGAAGGAAGAATTAGAGAGAGAGGAGAAATGTAGCTTGGAAGAGAAAGAGAAGAACATCAAGAAGAATATATGTAGATCCCTATTGCGAGTAAGTAAGATAAACTTTGAAAAGTTCGACTGGTTGATTGTGGTGGAGTTCCTCTGGTCTCTCCTTCTAACAATAATAAACGACACGCAGCATCATTTATCACTCTTCCCACTAAATGACAAACTCCTCAATGTCTACACTTTGTGTCTTGTACACTCCTCATTTTCCACACTCCCGTATTCAAAACACTTTGCAGTCTATGTTTTCCACATTCCACACTCCTCGCTATCCACAATTCACTCTACACTACACCGCACTTAGCCTGCCCCTCCTCCCTTCTCCCTCGCGCCGTCTCGCGCCCAAATTCCCTACTCCTCCTTCCCCGCGTGCGGTCTCGCGAACGAATTCCATTCCCCTTCCCTGTTGAACGCCTGCCATGCAGGCTACAACGCACTCCTCGTTTTCCACAATCCACACTCTTCGTTTTCCACACTCTACACTACACCGCACTTAGCCTGCCCCCCCCCCCATCCCTTATCCCACGTGCGCGGTCTCGCGCTCAAATTTCCTTCCCCTTCCATTTTGAACGCCTGCCACGTAGGCCTCACCGTACTCCTCGTTTTCCACAGCACGCACTCCTGCTTTTCCAGGCAACCACTTATACTGCCAGTAAAATCGACTTTCTTGAATTTATTTGCAGATTAAGCTACAATAGATGGCGCTGTTTAGCCACACTAAAATTCTTTTCCAGAGACAGTAAAACAGCGATTTAAATGATCAAAAGTTGTAAGTAGGATCGTGCTGGAATTTTAATGGTTGAAGGGATGTTGAGGCACTTGAACTACAATCTAAAAGTGCTGGAAGTGCTTATCTGATGAATATTATATTGTACGGAATTACGAGTACAGAATTAGTGGACCCGCCGGAAATGGTATTATTCCCAGCAATATCACTCCAGGTTCAACTTGCATAAAGGCTGTGGTTCTCTCTGCTTTTTTGCCATTACGACAAATTCTCACTGCAGTGAGAATCGGAGCGCAGAATTTTGGGATTTTTTTTATCACCAAGATGCTGCGTTACATGCTACTGTTCTTAATCGCTGCATTGCCGATTGTCATTCTTCCTCGCACACTAAGCGGCGTACAAGGAGTAAGTCACCTTCTATTAACTGTAAATTGAAACTGTTTAAAGTATAAATTGTAAAATTGATGGGGTGAACGAAATGAAGCCTCAAGTGGTTTTTGATTCATCTGCTTCCAGTTTGCCTTGTAGCATATGTGGGAGCGAATCGAAGGGGGAATTTAACATTAGATCAGGATTTGCATAGTCCTTAATTTCTAACCTCCCTTTGTTTTTCTTTACAATTCTTACTCCCTCATCGTAAGAGATCTGAAAAGTTAGTAACAGATACCGGATTCATTTTACTTTACAGAGTTCACTGCCAAACTACCATGAAGAAAAGAACATGTACGAGAGCTACTGGAAAGACGCGAACATCAAGGAAGTTAATGAAGGTGCTAAAATATCAGCAAAAGGTATTACTGAAAAATATACATTAGCTATAGCATCGCGATTATTCATACTCACTTACAATTTTAAAATGTAGTCCAACACTTCCAGGGACGCAGCAAGCTTTTCGACTAGTTGCACGCTTGGCTGACCTTGATTTCCACATATCCTGAAAACTGCACGCATGACTAGTATGCACTGACCTCACCAACACTTTGAGCTCTTAACCTTTTTACCTCACTCCCACAACGCATGATTTATTAAAAGGGGTAGAGTGATCAAACCAAAAATTTGTAGGCCCGGGCCAACAGGTCTTTATAATGGGCTGCCTATGCCCCTGACGTTTGGAGTTGAATTCCTGAGAACCATATCCAGATTTAGAAAGAGAAAGAAAATTTCGTTGTCGCTTGTTGCGTGATCCATAAAACGTAAAATTAGGCGTGTTTGCGTCGTAGTGGTGCAATGAGGGCAAAAAAAAAATTGAAAAAACCGTGTTATGCACGTGCAGAGTTGTTGTTTTGCTAATTAAACCTATTGCTTTTTTGCCGTTCGCTTTGTCGTCACCTAGGTCCGATCTTTAGGTCCCTGTTATGACTTCGATTGAGTATGATGGAACTAAAAATGGATTAATATACGTTTCTGGGAAACTGTCCACCTACCCCTCCCCTATGAGCCAACATATCTGACAACCAGTTACGCACTCAGACGGGTTAGTGGTCCCACGTATAGTTTCCAACAATAGCCTCCCACTCAGAAAACCTAATCGCGTTCAACCCGCAGTGCATGTGGTTGACCGAGGGAGCGATGTCTGACCAGAAGTGGACGTATTTCATTCTTGGGAAGCGATTTTGCCCAAATGTTTAGGCAAATCGTCTCTATACACGTAAACGCACTTAGCACTGAGACACATTTGGTGGCTTCATAAGACTGCGCCTCAATCCCGGTTGACGTGCGCCGTCTATAAACGCCGGTTTAATTTCGGAAACCAACAATGCTCTGTTCTATTTTAGAGTGTTACCATTACACGGTCCTTAACGAGTCCAGCAGAGCAAACTCCTTTTACAACATCAGTATTGACTTCCTTTGTGATGATGATCTTAACGGATGGTATCGCTTTGGGGGAGATGCTGGAAAGCAAATGGCGGATTCATGTGTTCAGGAGTTTCGATGTGGCGCAGATCTGCCGGGTTGGCTGAATGGCAGTCATCCTGAAATAGCTGAGGGTGCTGTCCGACGCAAAGTTTGTTTCCGTTACAAAAACAATTGTTGTGAATACTCAACAAGCATCACAGTCCGTAACTGTGGAGGATTCTACGTCTACCACCTTGGGAAGCCCCCAATTTGTAACTTCCGTTACTGCGGCAACGGAACACACAAACCAAGTGAGAATTTAATTTTCCCGTATAACATGCTCTGTCACTTATTCTCAACCTCCTCTTCCCTCAGCCACCAACCCCTTCCCCCTTCGCAATGTGACACCGGAACCTCGGATCCTGCATGGAAGATTTGTTCCTCGGGCCTTCCTCGTCTCTTTTTACGCCTCAAACACGATACCATATTTTCGCTTCTTCGTATATCAAACACGGTACGCAATGTTTCATCGTACATTACCGAGGAAAGCATTAAAAATATCCGAAGCGTAGCCGGGTGTGACAGATTTTTTTCCCCGACCCCTCTTCAAATACAACGAACTCGAAAACCGTTCCAGATACAAGACTCCGACTACAACTGATGCCTCATACTATCATTACAAACAGCCAGATGGTGACTGCCATTACACTCAAACTACTCACTCTTAGTCTCGCAGTTGTGGGCCAAATGCCCCCCACGCCGTAGCCATAAAGTTTCACGTTTTCGTGTGACACATGAATATGGTGCTTGAGGACCTGCACTTAGCCGCGTCGGTCCTGCTGTCGTAGCTAAGGACTTTAATTTTGTTGCTTTCATTACTCTTCGGCACTTTTCTTCGACTTCCTTTCTTATTTTAAGCACCTTGCCTTTACTTTAAGGGTTTAGAATATTATGAAATTGCGTTTGTATCTTATAAGGATTCTCCTATCAGATTGGAAAAGTAGACGTTTCGAAGACAAGGCAGGAATGGAGTCGCAACAGCAGCAAATGTGAAGCGCCGACTCACTGTACATTGCCACGTTGCACAGATGTGACTTTTCATCGGGAATTCGTTGGATCACGGACTGTAAGTATTTATGACTGCATACCAAGATGTGCTTCCGCACTTTTAAAATGGACTAAGCTATGAGCTTAAACTTTACGTCATCGTTAAATTCATGAACAAGGCTTTCCCGGGGAATTTTAAATGAGTCAAGGAACTAATATGTATTCTAACCCTTCATCAACAAAGAGTCAAGAATCGAAAAAAATAATGATAATAATTCGCCGTCTTTTGGGTAATGTTACCAGACAGTTTCGTGTTGGAGTTAATCTCAGAATATCGATTTCTCAGTTGAAATGACTTCAAGTTAGACCATACAAGCACTCGGTGTTTTCTTGAAAATAATATTGTAAAGGAGACAAAAAAAAAAACGTTACAACGGTCGATCAAAACGACTAAAACAAGGAGAACAACTGAAAGGGAACAAGTACTTCGATGGACTGACAGTGACATATCAACGGCACTGGTGCGCTTTATCTGTTTTTACTTATACGTATTTCTAACCGATGCATTTCAGGTCCACGTTTTTGTGTCACTGAGTCATGAAGAAAACTCGTCGATGGCTCACACACCCTCGGCTCTGTGGGCAGAATCCATCAATACAGTTGGATTTAAACTATGTTCGCGCACGGCGGGTAATAAAAACGACACGGGAATGATCAACTGGTTAGCGTTCGAAGACCAGCCAAGCACAGACATAACGCATGGAAGCGTTGTTCTTGGTGGAATATGGACAACAGAAACCAAGTGTGAAAAAGTGGCCTTTTCTCAGGTTAGATCATGAAATTAGTTAACAATCTGTTGAAAATAAAATACAAAAATGCTGCTTGTAAGAACAACACTTTTTAGCAGGAATGACATTGTGCTTTCTGTGATTTCTCAAGGTTTTTTGGTATGTAACACATTAACGTCAATCAGTGGCGGACGGAGGATTTTGTGATAGAGGGGACCTAGAGATATAGTAACTGTATACAGTGGCAATATGAGCGCGATAGCGCCCATCAGGACTGCGAACCGGCGGTGCACTTTTCTAGGGAGTTTCGGGCGCATGGTCCTCCGCGAAAATTTTTGAGATTGAAGTTCTCTGAGATGCAATCTAGTGCATTCTGGACGCTTAAATTTTATGATGCTAGCAGGGGCCGACGCGATTGCGGCGGGAGCGCAACCTCCCAGCAAAGGCAGCAACATTGTCTCCCTGAAAAATTGTCAAATCCAGTTTGTTTAAGAAGGATATTTACTGCATGCATTTTGGGAGCTTTGGTCATTTGCGACCAAAAATGTAGGCTTCGAACACAGATTCAAAGAAGATTTATATTTAAAAATAATTCAACAAAGGAAATGCATCCCAAGGATATGACTCTAAGACCAATCATAAGTAAATTCATTGCAGGGGATTGATAAATGTCATCCTTCTCTTGTTGCGCTTGGCATAGTCGTCAATAATTGCATCATAATCCAGAGCAACGTCCTTGTGAATAAAGAGCAGCGACAGTGCGTTAAGGCGGTCTTCTCTCACGGTGCCTCTAAAACAACTCTTTACAAAGCGCAGTGATGAGTTGCTACGTTCCACAGTTGCACTTTTCACAGGGGCTATCTTTAGGAGTCGCAAAATTGTGTGGATTTTTGGGTATAGGCCTCTGTTGCAGGCTGCCAATTCTTCTTGTAAAATGGAGGGTTTTTCGGTTCTATTGATCCTGAAAATGAAAGCAACCACTTACATATATCGCAAGACAGAAATGGTTTCCTTCGCGTATCACTGAAAAAACGTTTCATAACCATGTACATGAGTACAAAAAAACTTAGTGAAACTGTGCTGTATTCTTATTAAATTTGAAATAAAATTACCATACCAAAAGCGCTTCCACAGCTCTGGCTCCTGAGACGCACTGCTTGGCAATGGAAGATCGGGCAAATAGTGACGAATAACTTTCTTTTGAGAAGACTTTTTTAAAAAGCTTCTGCAAGTTGGCAGGTATCAGTAGCATCTTTCAGTTTGTCGGTTTGAAGCTAGTTTATAAGGGCGGATGATTCGAACAACATTCGATACATTTTCTTCAGTATTAACAATGTTTATTTAAGAAAATATAGTTAAGTAACAAAGCTCGACGTACCATCCGACACACGTTTTTCAAATTTCAGTCAATCTTCGTCCATTTCATTGTCCATAGGCTCATTTGACCTCGTATTTTGTCTTCCAGAGCTTTGCCTCTAAGCCGTACGTGTTTGTTTCCGCAAAATACGGCCGCAGCACAAAGCCAACTGATGCTGTTTATGTATGGTTGGAGAATGTAAATTCTGAAGGTTTCGAAGTTTGCATCAGGGAATTCTTGCCTTTTGATGGAAAACACAGAGATACAATTGTGGTACGTGGGAAATAACGATAAAGTATACACGTAACATAGATATATGTTTTTTTTTTTTCGGGAATCCATCGTCATTTCACCAGCTGTGATCTAGGAATAGTTAGTGTCTGGCGTCCCACAAGGCTTCATATTAGGTCCTTTTATATTTAATTTGTACTTAGCAGATCTCCAGGACCACATACTATGCCAGTGTTTAACAGGTTATCTTTTTGAGGTTAATGCGTTTTTAGAATTTCTGCAAAAACCGGAAAGGGAAAAGTAACAACCTCTCTTGGTATGAGGCATGAGCTAACTAGTACTTCGAAGGATATCAACTAAAACAGTAAAATGATGATGAATTCTCCAACTTAATTTAGATCATTATACGTTTCTGGGAAACTGCCCACCTACCCCTCCCCTAAGCCAACGTGAGCTCTTACTTCTCACTTAGAGCAAATCCATCAAATGATCCCTTGGATCATTATACGTTTCTGGGAAACTGCCCACCTACCCCTCCCCTAAGCCAACATTAGCACTTACTTCTCACTTGGGGCAAATCCATCAAATGATCCCTTGGATCATTATACGTTTCTGGGAAACTGCTTACCTACCCCTTCCCTAAGCCAACATTAACACTTACTTCTCACTTAGGGCAAATCCATCAAATGATCCCTTGGATCATTTACGTTTCTGGGAAACTGCCCACTTACCCCTCCCCTAAGCCAACATTAGCACTTACTTCTCACTTAGGGCGAATCCATCAAATGATCCCTTGGATCATTGTACGTTTCTGGTTTTCTTTCATCGACAGGACTGGTTCGCATTCCTCAGGCTTGACAACGTGACTGCCGGAGAAAGGTTCTTTCCAAATGACGGATACCCGTCAGCTGAGGACAACTATGGCTTCTGCCAGGTGAGTGGTAGCTGTCAATCAGCTGTCAAGGTAACAAAGACCAAACTACTTGAGTGTTTTGTTTGTGCTTTACTACGTTAATCGATGAGAACCACGATCCTTTAGCCCCTGCCACCGGTCGAAACTATCTCTGGTTACGTTCGTCTGCGAAACAGCGCGGAAATCCTTGGTCTGGGCCCTCACATGTTTAAGAGGATTTGAGCACGCGCCATAATTGGTCTGTTTAAAATGCCATTGTCGATTTGACAGTCAGGTTGATGGGACATACAAAACGTATTTCAGAACAAGAATATCCCAGGAAGGAAAGGAAACCCGGAAAGGAATCCGCAGAACAAGGATATCGGAACGCTTCACAGACGTTACTAACACTGAGGTTAAATTACGTTTGCTACGCAGGCTACGATTCTAAATCGTGTTGAATTCCTTCTTTCTTACAGGACGTTTCTTTCAATAAAACGTTCCAAGAGTCACCAGTTGTCCTTGTTTCTGTCAATCACCGATACGATCGCCGGGCGAAGGGCCGGTTTCTCCCGGAAAATAACATAATCTCGACCTGGGTGGAGGTAGGTTTGTGTTTCGTTCTCTATACTCACGTCATTAGACATTCCCAAATAGAAAAACGTTTAAATTTTAAACCACGGTTACACTTTGGTGTGTTCATTTCCTGCCGTTCTCTTTTTCTTTATTCTTAACCTGTCGCCAGGTTTTTATTATCATTATATTTTTTTATTACAGCAACTGTAAAAAAAAAACATAACATATAATAACGGAAAGGAAACGTTTCTTTTCGTTTCTTACTGCTGTTCTCGCTATTAGCATAAAAACGATTCTCACCAGCATAATCTGCTAAAATGAAAACGCACTTCTTTTGTATTATAATAACTTGCTTGTACTTGTCTCTCTTTGCAGAACCTTGGCTTACAATCTATGAGGATGTGTGTTAAAGACCTCAGTGGATCAGGTCCTATCCATGACCCACTTACTGTAGCCTATGCTGTTGTTGGAGGTACGTTTTTGACTTAGGCCCTTTTAGAAAGCTCCAAGCTCGTTGGTTGAATTGAAATTCCTTTAAACTGAACTCTACTAAAGTATCCACCCTTTTTTTTCTACATAGACATAGATCCTTGTCTTAACGTGCAATGCCCTCGATTTGGAGTCTGCAAAGCATATAATGCTTATAGCGGTCGCTGTGAATGTAATGATCAATGTCCATCGTATCAAGATCCAGTGTGCAGTGCGAGCGGTACAACATACGACAACCAATGCTGGCAGAAGCTCGGCTACTGCAAAAGACTTGAGAGCGACCCCCGTATCTACCATCCGGGAAACTGTGAAGGTAAGCAAGACTGTAAACTCCCGCTTCTAAGCCGTTATAGGTCCCCCTGGATATAAGCGCCCCCCCCCGATTTTTTATTAACGTTTTAAATCTGAAATAAAGTTTAACTTGAATTTGTGAATGTGGTAGATTTTGAACAGTTGCTTCCCATTATATAAAGCACGCAGAATTATGGTAAAAATGCGATAATTAGTCTCCAGGAATACCTTAATAACCAGTAAATGTAAAACTTACTTTGATCAGTTACTGCTTAAGATGTTCCGAAGAATCTCCGAAGTGCTGTTTCTACTCTAGTTATAAACCCTGGCGGGTATAGGCCCCTCCGTTTATTTATAACAGAGTCCTCCTAAAACCCGATATGAAGATGTATAAGCCCAGGGCTTGCGACAGTTCCCGCTATGCTACAATAAAATAACTTGGAGTAGCACCAAGCTGATGTTTGGTGAAACATGAACTAAGCGAGAAGGACTGACATCCCTCGTGGCTTTGCAGACGTAGCGAAATTTTCAAACACCAAATCTGAATTGTCTCTGCTCAACAAAGTTACGTTATTACGCATCTTCGTTGTTGTAAGCACTGTTTCTTTATGTGAAAGTGCTGAATACAATAAGAGCTCTAGCAAAGAGAAAACATTTCATGGGTGACACACTGTAAACATATCTTCCTTCTGTCAATAACTAAATGGAGAAGTAATCATCAAAAGGATACCTAAAATGCGATTAATTCCACAATCAGTTTTTGCTCTATTAAATCCTTAATTGCAAAACACTTTGGGAGTGGCCATCCACAAAGTGGGCGGAACATGTACTGATCACAGGGCATTTTTGTAATGGTTATTAAACACATGATAAAATGCAATTCGTATATACACGACGTAACATTACAAACTCCACGAAAGTTGGTGAAAACGTCAACTGAACAACTGAACAAGCAACGCAAGCGCACTGGAAAATATTCCAAAAAGAAAACAGCATAAGCAACTTTGGGTGCGCACCGGTATCCAGCTGAACGGAACGCAGCGCATATGAATAAGAGACATTGAAATCATGAGATTATTTACATGAATCAAGTATTATTATAAGTTGATAATTTTTTTGTTGAACAGTTTTTCCCATTGTGCGGGGCCGAGAAGACCTTCTCCGTGTTCCAAAATGGCTCGATTCAAGTTGTCAGACCGTCACATTTCCACCATACCGGTTCTACCCGGATAAACAGGTTCATGTCCAAATAACTGTCAATCACATCAAATTGAATGACTCTGTTAAAGTCCACGACGCGGTGACTGCATGGACAGAAAACATCAGCGCAAAAAAATTTACAGTTTGTGCCTTGCAAGCAGGAAGGAAAAAAGAGAAATTTACCCCTTTCGCCAGCATTGATTGGGCTGCCTATCAAGGAGGGCCTCCTGAGGCACTTACGGGAACGGTTAATTTGCCCAAATGGTGGAGTGGTACAAACTGCGAGAAAGTGACGTTTCCCAAGGTATGATGGGAACATTTAAATGTTTCACGAACCGTTTTTTTTTTGTATGCAGAAGTGCCGAATAATAATCATGACGATGAAGGGAATTTTGCATGGGCTTAACTGGTGTCTGCCACATGAAACACAAATACTAAACAAACGGAAAATCATCGTAAAATGATGCGCAAAGTTAACGTAATTGATAGTTTATATCGGCATATTACCTAAAACCTAGTGGCGGACCGCAACATGTGCAATACCGTATGGAGTTTTTGTTCTTTCTTTACATCCTCGCTCGCTTTTCTTTTCAATAATCCTAAACCATCTATATCACTCTTTCAACATTCTTTAAAAACTTGTAAGGTCCCGTCGAGTGAACACCACGATGGATTGATTTATCTTACAGCCTTTCGTCCACACTAAACATGATGAATTGTCCACCCAAAATAGCACTTTTCGGAAACGATTTTTATAGATCTCTGAAAATCTCACTGTATTCATTTTTGCCAAAAAAGACACGTTTTGAAATCTAGTAGGACTAGTGTGGACTCGTGTGGAAGGAAAACATTTTATATTGCGTTTTCCAATTTCTCCATTTTTCCAGTTTTTGCTGATTAAAGTGGCCGGTGCGCGTAAAATACCCTCTTTAACTCAATTTTTCTCAAATTGTTTTTTAGTTGTTGTTATTTTCAGAACATTCCAATTTTGACAAACTTACTCGCTTTTTCATCAGGGAAATTTTACTGAGGCCCCAGTAGTCCTTGTGACTTCAGAGCATCTGAAAACAGGTCAAGAGTATGATGCCGCTCTCATCTGGACCGAAAACGTAACAAATAGCTCATTTCAAGTTTGTCTTCGGGAACTGCAAAACTTTGATGGTAAACACGAGGATATTAGTGTGGTATGTGTCAGAAGTAAAACTAGAGGCATATTTATTGCTCTTAAACGGAAGGAGAGAACTGGGTAATTATTTCTTTCATGAAAAGTTGTCGCTAAGCAAAATTCCTTGGGCAACACGAGTGAATAGCTGGCATAATAGCCCAAGTCGTCTCAAACAGACGATCGACACAGTTCTATAGAAACACTTCTGATGCGTTGCGAAACTATCCAAACGATTGAGGCGGTCGGAATTGCCTGGATACGACTGAAGTTTTAAATATTCGTTCAGAACGTCGGGATCCGGTCCAAGTCGTCGAAGTACATTGATTGAGGCTATGAAGACGATCTGGACGAGTGTATGGAAACCAAGCCTTTGATTTGTCGTACAAACTATCGCATTTACCGATTTGTGCCTATTCAATTCAATTCATTTCCTCACAACTTATTTGCTAATCTTAAAAACTTACATGCCCTTTTTATTGTTTATAGGTATATACGTTCATTTCATTTGGTTAATATTAATGTTTGATTATGGTGGCCAAGTCAACCATTCAGTTTTCTGGTTGGCCCCCATATTGCAAAATACGTTTCTTTTAAAAACAGGCCAAAAACAGAACCAAACGAGACGCTGTGGGACCGTATATTTGCGCGTCCATTTACTAGGCGTGTGTGAAGTTTTTTATGTCTATTAGGATGTGTTAGCAGTGCAGTAGCGTTGTATGTTTTAGGGGTTGGTTGAGATGTTTGGAGTGGAAGGCGTGGATTAGTAAGATAATGGCTGTAGTTTGTTAATCAGTGAAACTGGTTTCTAGTAGAATTTGATATGAAGTAACAAAAAATATTTTTTGGGAAGGTAAAAGTGATTTGAGGTGTTGCAGTGAGGTAGTTGTGGGTGTGCTAATTTGGTTACAAAGGGATAGTGCAGTTACATTCTCTTGAAATGAAGTGGTGGTTTTGAGAGATCTTATCAATGGTCTAAAACATACTTGTACTTATTTTAAACGTTGTTAGGCTTTCTGTTTAGGATTTTTCGCGGTTATTTTTTATAATATTTGTATGGAGAGAAGGTGGATAAGGAAACTTCATTTAATATGGAGAAGGGGGTATGAAAATGTTGGGGGCTGAAATTTTGTATGTGTGTCTTTTTTTGTGCGACGACAATTGTTTTCCATGGGGAAAATTTAAATAACTTAATGGTTTGTTTGACTCAGTGTACTTTGTTTTTTCAATCGTTTGACTTCTATTGCCGAATTGCTTTCCGTGCCTTATCTGTGCGATGTATGTAATGAGGATAAATGCTGTGTCGTGACAAATCGCGCGGCAGACTAGTCGCGTCGCTTGGCTTGTTTACGTTCGCACGTATTGCGTGCCTATTGCAACTTTGAATCAAAACAATCGATCTCGATTACTCTATTTGGGCAACGCCCAAATAATAACAATTACAGTAAAATAGATGTAAAAAGTGGTTGACATATTTTCCATTTTAAAGTGGAGGGGAACAAGATCCTTCTTCAGAAGGTTCTAATAAATTGCTCAGTTGTAGCCATAATTATATTAAGCCACATCAAACGTGACCGTCCGCCATAACGACGTACACCTGGAGTCTATAGAAAAATTGCTGTATTGAAAGCAATTATTATAACAGGTCTGAATGACGATGATGATATATTTAAGGAGTCAGTGTAGTTAACAACTACTAATTTCAATGAATTCTTGTTTTCAGAACTGGTTTGCGTTTTCTAGATCGCTGAAAAAGCCACTGTCTTTTGAGCACGGCAGCATAGGTTTTATAGGCACCAACAACACTAACCCACCACCGATGGATGAAAATAATAATGCATACTGCAAGGTAAGAATAGACAAAAAGTTAATATGTATCACTTTTATTACACGATTGGTCGTCAAACGTTACTCCCAGTTTTGTGGAACTTTAGCGAAGGAATGGTGAAACGTTTTAGCTAAATGTTTTCGGATATTTCTTGTTTTTCAGTTCGTGTTATTCACAAGAGGTTACAGCTCGACTCCAACAGTGCTTATCGCTGCCAATCACAGCACAAAAGTATCCGGGAACTCAGCCCCAATTCACAACGGTATTTCCACGTGGATTGAGGTAAAAATCGCTCTAGTGTGACACTACACTGTATTTCAGGCCTTTCCCTTCCCTCTACTCGCGATTTTTTCACCCTTTTCCCAAACAGAGAGCCTGTTCACAGGCTACTAGTGCCGGGACAACAGGTTTGTATTGCGAATATTATATTATTGTATATATCAAAGGCAGTCAATGGTTACTGTGTAACCTAGCTAGCTAGCTTTTTTTTTTCTCCTTCCTCAAATGGTCCCTATGGCTTCCACGCTCGGACACAGTCTCCTTAAGAATTAATTGCCTCCTTATTTCTTATCTTATCTCCAAGCAAGCGAGACTTAAACGCTTTTTAGATCTTTCTTGTTGTATTAGGTTTACTCATTAATATTATTTGGTTTAATTTATTCTATTTTTTGATAATCAGCTAGCGAATAGATTTTCCCCCTGATCATTTATATGTCAATAGCGCGATAGAAGTAATTGAATTTATTGTTATTATTATTTTTGTTATTATTATTATTATTATTATTATTATTATTATTATTATTATTATCATTATCATTATCATTCTTCTTATTATCATCATCTTCATCATCATCATCATTAATAGTTGTGCACAGTGGCTCAAAACAGTTTTCCTTTTGACTGATCTGTCTCTGAGAAAACCATTTTTGGTCCTTTCAGTATTTCTTAATTAATTTTGAACGAGCTGTTTGCATTCGAATTTTGAAGTATCTAGTGGACAGCAACGTATTATTTGATAATCAATTTGGCATCCCTGAGGGTCATTCCATGTCAAATGCAAAAATTAATCTTGTCAAATGGATTGCCCCTTCAACTGGCGAAAACAAATTTTAGGCTGGATTTTTTCTTGATCTTTTGAAAACTTATTTGCAATTGGTACATGTACAATAGACTATAAAAATACTGAGAGCAGAGCTGAACAGAGGACAACAGTATGTGGATTTCCTAAGGTTTCCATACCTGAGCCCTCTTTTTAATCTTTTATATCAACAATCTTCTTAATTGTTTTAGTAATGTTGAGTCCCTTCTACTCGTTGATGACACTAATGTTCTCTTTGACCACCCTGATTGCATCTTGTGATGGATAATATATAGATTTAGCCAGGGCTAAAAGCAAATCTCCCGTTAATAATTTCGTAATTTAAATCAAACAATAAACTTGTAATCCACAGATAGGGCACATTCATTCGACTTTTGAGGCAAAGGCTAAGTGATTTTAGAGAAAAATAATTTGACAGTCCAAGAGTGAAACAAATTTTACATCGAGTTATTAAATAGTCTTATTTGTGCACCCAAAAATAGCAATCATGTTCGATCACATTCGAGTATTGTATTTGCATTAGCTGTTCCATCATAATGTGGCAATCACCAGTCTCTCCAACATTGCTCCGTTAGAGAGACTATGGATAAGTGATAATTGGACAACCCCGAAATATAATTTTAAGAAACACACGCGCCACGATAGTCCTTGATGGCAGCCAATTTTCACGTTGCATTCCTCTGTCTAAAAGAGAGGCCAAAATAAAAAAATCAGGCCGGATTTTTTGTGTTCGACAAGTTTAGGTTACTGGTAAATCTTGGCGACGAATCTGGTGGCGACACACTGACATACTTTTTCTCATCACATCTCAGGTAAACAGTACCATGAGGCCCTTCTTTTATCATACAGACCTTGGAAAGAATTTGTTCTTTTTTGCCCTATTGAAACCTATAATTCTGCAGTTTTTCACAATTTTGCAAGAGAATTTGCACTCATTCAATATCCACGACGATCAAAGCATGCGCTTCCTTTGCACAACAAATTATAGCATTGAATTATAAAACGTTTTCATAAAGAGAATTCTATAATGCCGGTACTTTTCAGTTAGAAAAATCTGGTCCTATGTGATATGCAGGGTAATAACTATGGGCTTTTAATGAAAACGATAAAAAATTCCCAACATCACTCTTCGGCCAGCCGGACGGGTTCTCACTTTTGACAGGCACCAAATTTGCAGTGCGATTAATAGAGTTACCATTTACGCTTCAACATGATAGAGAAATTGTTATGTTTAGGTTTTATTTCCCTTTATTTATTAAACTTTGTATGGTTTTGTTATGTGTAATCTTTAAAAGCGAGTGATATTTACGCGCGGCATTTTGAGTATTTCTGCATGCGATGTTTGTGTTCGACTGGAAACAACCGGTGCAGCGATAAAAATTGCGAGAGGGACTACTAACAATCAATAAAATAAATATAATTCAGTGAAACATGTACAGAGACAATAATTTCCATTCACGAAGAGAAGTATTGAGAGTAAAGTGTCTCTGAAAATCATGAGTCAGGCTGAGCATAAGCTTATTTATGTTTTAAGCGGGCTTCCCGGTGTTTGCTCTTTTTCAAGATGAACTCGAGGCAAGAAAATCGCTCAGAGCTTTCTGTTTACAGCCAAAATCATAACTAAATAATCTTCGGAACCTTTTCTTTGAATTTGCGGTCAAAAAATGTCTAACGGCTCTTTAAATCTGATACTATTGTGGGTTAGATCATTGCTCGTGTATAAACTTAAGCGGCGTAAACCGTACGCTCGACTTCAGAAAACCGAAAAAAAAAACACATCAAAGACAATAATTGCTCAGGCTTACCAGTCTCAAGCAAGGGCAAGTGAGTAAGCTATTTTGAAAACGATGCCATCCGAAATCGGATTTCCAATGACTTTTACAAGCGGTGCATTTGTTAACAAAAAGCGCAATTAACAAACCAGCCATGAATTACAGAACAATCTTGAGAGCAGCTGTATTTCATTTTGTACACCAAGTAGAAAAAGACAGTTTAAAACATCACAAGATGACACAAAACTCTATCAGCTCCAGCTATCAGTAAGCAAGTTACCAGACGCTGCATAAATTTTCCGCATGAACTCACCTGTCAAATTTTGATCAATCAGAACATAAAAATTGGATGTAGAGCGTGATCAACGCGTGACAGTGAGAAAAGTCAAAAGCGATTGCCTTCCCTGCATGTAAAGTAAAAGCCGGTTGAATTTTCGCGTCCGAGGTCAGTTCGAAATCAACATTTTAAAAGTGCGGCTCATGAACACGACTTATTTCATATGCATTTTAAAAAAATTGAACTTGAGCCTGCGATCATTTGAAAAGTAGCAACTTGTCAGCCGATACCTTCAAAAAAACACTCGAACTCAGTGGGTCGATACCTCAGCCCGCGATACGGTCAGGTGATACTGGTCAGCAGAAACACTATTTTGACAGCTGTCAATTAATCAAAACATGGATGTACAATATCAGGTTGCAGGCTCCCAAACTATCTAGAAAGTGTGAGATTAAACATTGGTATGCCTGTGGTATAGACGAACGGAAGGTCGGCTGGTCGGTGTACGGTCACGTGATTGCTGTATTTTCTAGGATGGATAGATTTTCTAAGCTATTGGGCTTCGAATTGAGCCCGTGATCAAATAAAATATCAGGGCAAAACTTTAAACACTACGTGACCTTGATGGATAGAAAAATGAGCCTGCGATACACTCAGGTAATGATGGTCAGCGTATACTCTAGTTTGGCAGCTGTCAATTAACCTTCATTAGAATGGCAAATATTCGAATTAACAGACTACGAGTGTGAGTAAGACATATCCGTCCGGCATGTATTGGAAAATGCTAGATCGTGTACCTGAGCGAACCTGAGCCCACGTTATTAGTTTTCTGATTAGTGGTCTGCACATGTCCCATTTTGACAGCTGTCAATTGACCTTAATTTGGCTTGCCAATATAACTTTAAACGACTCCTGTCAGCCAACTGACAGCCTTGCCCGGCGTAGTTTCGTTTTTATGTTGAATTGGTAAGTGTGACATATTATATCAGCTTATATGTAGGGGCAAAATGACTGGTCTTTCATCTGAGCCCGCGAGAAGGTCATGCGATAATTGTCAGCGGATGTCTGATTTTGATAGCTGTCAATCTAATCGTACTCATACGGATGGCTTACATAACTAAGAGGCTAGTCAAGTTGTGCAAGATCTATTGTGACATTTGACATCGGCTTACATGACGTGTGTGTACGGGTGAGCGGGCGGGCGGGCGGGCGCTACGTCATAAGCAAATTTTCTCGGATGGATAGTTTACCAAATTTTCTTGCCCATGGTGCTCCGCTGCGCGCGCACGAGAGCTCCGCTATTAATAATAATATTAATAATGATAATATTAATAATCATAATGACAATAATATATAGATTTAGCCAGGACTAAAAGCGAAGCTCCCGTTAATAAATTCATAATTTAAATCAAACAATAAACTTGTAATCCACAGATCAGGGCACATTCATTTGACTTTTGAGGCAAAGGCTGAGTGATTTTAGAGAAAAATCAGAATTTGACCGTCCAAGAGTGAAACAAATTTTACATCAAGTTATTTGTGCATCGAAAAATAGCAATCATGTTCGATCACACTAGATTAGGCCTGGAAAACAAATAGACCTATTCGTGTTTAATCTTCGTGTATTGTATTTGCATTAGCTGTAGCATCATAATGTGGCATTCACCAGTCTCTCCAACATTGCTCCGTTAGAGAGACTATGGATAATTGGACAACCCCGAAATATGATTTTAAGAAACACATGCGCCACGATAGTCCTTGGTGGCAGCCAATTTACACGTTGCATCCGTCTGTCTAAAAGAGAGGCCAAAATAAAAATCAGGCCGGATGTTTTGTGTTCGACAAGTTTAGTTCACTGGTAAATCTTGGCGACGAATCTGGTGGCGTGTAAACCAGCCTTTTAAACATACTTTTTCTCATCACGTCTCAGGTAAACTGTACACAGACCTCGAACAGAATTTGTTCTTTTTTGCCCTATTTAAACCAAATAATTCTGCAGTTTTTCACAATTTCGCAAGAGAATTTGCACTCATTCAGTATCCACAACGATCAAAGCACGCGCTTCCTTTGCACAACAAATTATGGCATTGAATTATAAAACGTTTTCTGTTGGAAAAATCTGGTCCTCTGTGATATGCGGGGTAATAATTATGGGCTTTTAATGAAAACGATAAAAAAATTCCCAAAATCACTTTTCGGCCAGCCGGACGGGTTCTCACTTTTGACAGGCACCAAATTTGCAGTGCATAGTCTCTTGAGTGCGATTAATAGAGTTACCATTTACGCTTCAAACATGATAGAGAAATTGTTATGTTTAGGTTTTATTTCCCTTTATTCATTGTGTATGATTTTGTTTTCTTGGTTTTAAAAGCGAGTGATATTTACGCGCGGCGTTTTGAGTATTCCTACATGCGATGTTTATGTTCGACTGGAAACAACCGGTGCGGCGATGAAAATTGCGAGAGGGACTACTAACAATCAATAAAATAAGTTTAATTCGGTGAAACATGTACAGAGACAATAATTTCCATTCACGAAGAGAAGTATTGAGAGTAAAGTGTCTCACAAGCTTATTTATGTTTTAAGCCGGCTTCCCGGTGTTCGCTCTTTTTCAAGATGAACTCGAGACAAGAAAATCGATCAAAGCTTTCCGTTTACAGCGCAAAATCATAACTAAATAATCTTCGGAACCTTTTCTTTGAATTTGCGGGTCAAAAAATGTCTAAAGGCTTTTTAAACCTGATACTATTGTAGGTTAGATCATTGCTCGTGTTTTAACTTAAGCCGCATAAACCATACGCTCGACTTCAGGAAACCGAAAAAAAAAAACATCAAAAACAATAATGGCTCAAGCTTACCAGTCGAGATGCTGCTTCTGAAGGTCATCAAGTGTTGCAGAATCGCTTGAGACTTTTCAACCTTCTTACGCCTCAAGCAAGGGCAAGTGAGTAAGCTCATTTTTGAAAACGATGCCATCCGAAATCGGATTTCCAATGACTCTGACAAGCGGTGCATTTGTCAACAAAAAGCGCAATAAACAAACAAGCCACGAATTACAGAACAATCTTGATAGCAGCTGTATTTCATTTTGTACACCAAGTAGAAAAGACAGTTTAAAACATCACAAGATGACACAAAACTCTCTCAGCTCCAGCTATCAGTAAGCAAGTTTTCAGACGCTGCAAAAATTTTCCGCATAAACTCACCTGTCAAATTTTGACCAATCAGAACATAAAAATTGGACGTCGAGCGTGATCAACGCGTGACAGTGAGAAAAGTCAAAAGCGGTTGCCTTCCCTGCATGTAAATGTAAAAGCCGGTTGAATTTTCGTGTCCGAGATCAGTTCGAAATCAACATTTTAAAAGTGCGGCTCATGAAACACGACTTAATTCATACGCATTTTAAAAAAATTGAACTTGAGCCTGCGATCATTTTAAAAGTAGCAACTTGTCAGCGAATACCTTCAAAATATTACTCGAACTCAGAGGGTCGATACCTGAGCCCGCGATACGGTCAGGCGATACTGAAACAAATCAAAACATGGATGTACAATATCAGGTTGCAGGCTTTCAAACCAGCTAGAAAGTGTGAGATTAAACATTGGTATGCCTGTGGTGCCGACGGACGGAAGGTCGGGTGGTCGGTGTACGGTCACGTGATTGCCGAATTTTCTAGGCTGGATAGATTTTCTATAAAGCTATGGGGCTTCAAATTGAGCCGTGATCAAATAAAATATCAGCGCAAAACTTTAAACACTACGTGACCTCAATAGATAGAAAAATGAGCCCGCGATCCACTCAGGTGATGATGGTCAGCGTATACTGTAGTTTGACAGCTGTCAATTAACCTTCATTAGAATGGCGAATATTCGAATTAACAGACTGCAAGTGTGAGTAGGACATTTCCGTCCGGCATGAAGTGGAAAATGCCAGATCGTGTACCTGAGCGAACCTGAGCCCACGTTATTAGTTTTCTGACAGCGGTCTGCACATGTCCCATTTTGACAGCTGTCAATTGACCTTAATTTGGCCTGCCAATGTAACTTTAAACGACTGTCAGCCAACTGACAGCCTTGCCCGGCGTAGTTTCGTTTTTATGTTGAATTGGTAAGTGTGACATATTATATCAGCTTATATATAGGGGCAAAACGACTGGTCTTTTATCTGAGCCCGCGGGACGGTCATGTGATAATTGTCAGCGGATGTCTGATTTTGACAGCTGTCAATCTAATCGTACTCATACTGATGGCTTACACAACTAATAGGCTAGTCAAGTTGTACAAGATCTATTGTGACATTTGACATCGGCTTACATGAAGTGTGTGTACGGACGGGCGTACGCTACGTCATAACCAAATTTTCTGGGATGGATATTTTACCAAATTTTCTTACCCATGGTGCTCGGCTGCGCGCGCGCTTCGCGCGCGCGGGAGCTCCGCTAATAATTTTTAACAGAAACTCATAAGGGGTTGAAACGTGTAACTCGCGTTCAATGCTCGTGAATATTCACTTTTACCATATTTGGAAACCTTATATTTAGTGTCAGATATCCATTTTCAACAAAATGGCTGCCGCGCGATCACCATGCAGATGTTTTAAGACAAGAGTTCAGCATTTCAAGGTTAAAAATACACGGTTAAAAGACAAAAAATGGAAAGAGAAAGTTCAAAAGAACGCTCAGCTTCCTTTTTGTGGAGGAAGGGAAGCTTTTCATCAAGAAATCGTCCTTCGAGGAATTCAACCTTGTTTTGTTCGCGACGGAGCCCATGGTCTGTTTTGAAATGCAACCAAGGCAGCGAAGTTTTTGCTGAATTTTAAGGTACATTTTGCACTCTATGGCCAAGACAATAACGTTTTTGAAAAGAGAAGTTATGTCTTTTTAAATGTTTCATAGACGTCTTATAAATTTTTCTCTTCGGCGCTAAAGAAAAATTACAAAATGTGCCCCGATTTGAGATGGATTTTGTGTTGAATTTTGCCATGTGCTCAGCCGATTTCACTTGCGTGAACGGATCCACGATCCAGAGAGTGTTTTCCGAATTACTTTAATTAGATTTTGAATAAAAATTTTCAAGAAACGGCTTCTCTGTCTTTTTTTTGAGTTTGTTCATTCAGAAAATTAGCTCAAAACATGATCGTGACTACAACACCCAAGCTGAATTTAAGCTTAAATGCTTCTCACATTCATTACACGCATCACTTTTTGTGAAGATGTCAGGTTCAGTTTTTGGACACTTTTCGATACGCAGCTAATGAATTTTATTCGCAAATATTTTTTACTGTTTATTCTAGACTTTTGATAGAAAAATTATAAAAGCCTATTTGCAGTACAGTTTACTGTGCAGAGGGTCAACGAGGCATCGTTTTTTGAAGTGACAAGTTCTGCAAGTTCAAGAAGTTGTGAGGACGTGAATGGGTTTCATAATGTTATGTTTGGCCCGGGTGGTAAGGCAATAATATCCTGCTCAGTGTTTTGGTAAGATTCCTGGTTTCAACCTTTGAAAGTTTTCTCGGCTTTCGGGAGTATTTTCCTCCGTTTGTCGGCGATTATTTAAGCGGGCGCGGGAACCTGAAGTGAAATTACGTCACGTTGTTTACAAAGTTTGATTGGTCAGTCATCTCTTCTTCTCGTTCCAAATATGGTACTTTTGAAAATGAATAATCAAGAGCATAGGACAAGGAAAACATATGAGAGTTACACGTTTCAACCCCTTAGGAGTTTCTGTTTTTAATTAATAATAATTTTATTTAACTTTAAAAATATGTACATAATTTACAAAAAATATTTCAAGTAAGAATTTAGCACCATCCAACATTAAGAATTATATAAATCATGAAAATACAATCACTGTGCCGATAACGATTTCCCAAATACATTCCTTGCGGCTGGGATGCGATCAATAACTGTTGCAGGAAGAGAATTATCCGTCTCTTATTTAAAAAAGAAACATGTTAAAAAGAAAATAATGTCGTATTCCTAAATTCCTAATTCTTTAAAAAGTTCCTAAAAGAGATTAATTCGGGCAGGCTCTAATATTTTCGATCTGTAGATCTGAGTCAACAAATTCTAGCTGTCGTTTTCTGGATCCTGAGCCTCTCAAGCATAGTATCCAGAGCGTGCGATGGCGAAAGATACTTTAGCTCTTATCCAGGAAATTGCGCTTCAGTAACTTTCTCCCTTCTTATTTGCGATCAGCTCCGCAAGTCTGCTTTGGTACTTAACACACTCAGCCGCCATTCCACCTGTGATCGTGAAAACTAGGGGAGTGAACGTTCCCTGTTCGATCTCCATTACTCTTTCCGCATACTGCCTCTTCTTCTCGTTCTCATACTTCTTGTAGATCTGCTTAGGATGGGCGTGTCCGTTATTTCCCAGTCGTACCGTAACTTGATTGCATCTCAAAATTCCTTCTTATTCAGATTGTAATCCAGCTGTTTGAGGGGAATCACGGTCCGGCAATTTGATGATCCCTTCTCTGGAGCTAACTCAACAGCTCGCTTAGCTTTTGTCGGCAGGGAGTTGTTCACCTGCTCTAGCCTCTCGCCTAGACAGTCGTCTTTTTGTTTTCGTGTGCTCAGTTACGGTGTTCGAATTTCTGAGGTATCTGGAGGCTGGTGCTCTTGCTAAACAATTCGCCTCACGAGCGGATTAGTTACTTTGATAGTAAATTATAATAATAATAATAATAATAATAATGATACCGTGATATAAAATATACGTGATAAACGAGAAAAGATATAGCACTTGTCATTTTCTGAACTCGTACACCGCCAAACGCTAGTTGTTTTAGTTCGAACAATGCCGCATGACGTCTCTGTATGAATGTTTTGTTTTAATCTGTTTTTAGAACATGAATGCCTCTGGATTCAGAGTCTGTGTCAAAGAGTTGTTTGGAACCAGATATGATCCCTTGTCAGTGAGTTATGCAGTGCTTACAGGTTCGCAAATACTGAAAATTTGTTCTAAACTGATAGTTATTTCGAATGATAAACATACAAAAAGTCGTATTTTCGTAGGCTCTGTGCACATGTGCACGTTTAATCTCCCGTTTTTGCGTTAACAAATACATTGAAAGTGGATTTTATACCAGGTGACGTAAAAGATGAATATCGATTTGCGATATCGATCGATAGAAATCGATAAAGAAAAACAGTTGTGTCTTCCATTAATGTCGATGATTTTCCGATAGAATTCGATGATGATATTTTAATCGATTGTTATCGATTACTATCGATTCCTATCGATTGTTATCGATTTTGTTAATCGATAACAGAAGATAAATTATTTTATCTGTGACTTCGATTTCTATCGATTTCCGATATCAAGCGATATTCATGGGCGGATTAAACCGATTAATATCGAAGATATCGATTGATTTTCGATATCAATTTTTATCGATTAACTACGTCTGGAATTACGTATGTAATGTGTACGGGGTCTAACAAAATGCTGGTTTTTACCTGACGAAGCCCAGGTCATAAGGATCCACGAAAGCGAAAGTGATTTTAGGGTTTTTGATATTTTTACCACATATAGATATCTGTGATCCTGGCTGGAGCTACTTTAATAGCTTTTGCTATGCAGTCAGCAAGAAGTGCGCAAATTGGACTGAAGCTCTGGCTAATTGCCGGCAGGAAAACGCAAGTCTCGTCAGCGTCAACAGTAATGAGGAAAACGTATTTATACAACGTCTTCACAATGGAGCAAAGTCCTGGCTAGGATTAAATGACATTTCCAGGGAGGGAACGTTCACCTGGGCAGGAGGCCGGCCAGGAAACTTTATAGTTTGGGCCAAAAACCAACCAAATAATGTTGGAGATGAAGACTGTGTGCATACGCTTGGCATTGGACACAACTACAAGTGGAATGACGTGAAGTGCAGTGACTGTCATCAGTATACTTGCAAAAAAGGTCAATGGAAATTATATAAACAACCAAGAAGTCTTTCTATAAGTAGGTTATATAATCCGTTTGAGTTGAGTCCCGTTTAAGACTGTTGGCGGTGAGAGTGACTGCTGTTTCAACAACCTCGTACATGCTGAAGAACTTAACCATCACCCGCCAAAAAGTCGGTTGTTTGCCTGTTTGTAACCTGTAAGTCGTTTTTCTTCGATTTTTTCACTTCGCTCTGCTCTCCACTAACTAAACGCCTGGAGCAGGCTAGCCTGTTCCGCGCTTCACGCTCGCTCTCGCTTTCACCAAATCAGAGTAGAAAAACATCTGCGATTAGTCTAGGAACAGGTACCAATTTCTGTATCTTTGACTCGGTTATAGACCCTAGAAACATAAAAGTCCGTCTATTAAGAACGAGGCTGCGCTGTTTTTTTTTAACTTCATCTTCCTGTCTCGATATCAGATAACACACCCACCGCTACCATTCTTTCCCTGTTTTCCTGCATGATTTTAGCTCTCTTGAAGCGTTTGCAGTGGTTACCCTGGTAATAAGAATAGCTTTACACCTTATTTTTTCTTGTTAACATTTTTTTTGTTTTCTTGTTTGTGCTTTATCAGACCAGAATGAGTGCAGTGGTAACACGTTCTGTCATCCAAAGGCTAGTAATTGTACAAATCTCTGGGGTTCGTTTAAGTGCACCTGTAACCTTGGCTACATAGGAAATGGAGTAAACTGTATATCAAGCGCACGAGGTACATAAGAGACATTTTAATAACATAAGAGACTAATTACATTTTGACATGAAAACTAATAGGAGTGAAACGTTTCTGAAAAATGTTTCCCAAACTCATTAATAATTCATAAAGAGAAAACAAAGAAAATCACAACCGTGACGGTGGTTTGGATATCGGATACTGATTACCATAAAATTTTGAGAACTTTTAATTATCTTTGAATTTCTCCTAGAATTATTGTTCATTTGAGAAGCTATATCCAAAACTCCACTCAGTGTTTCATCCGATATCCAGACACCTCGAAGTTGGTCTTAAAAAACTCGGCTGCGCCTCGTTTTTCAACCCACTTCTCAGTGTCTGGATGTCGGATGAAACACTGTTTGTCGTTTTGGATACAGCTATTTCGAGAAAGGTTGTCGGTAAAAAAGTGCACGCGACAATCCCGAAAGGTAATATGGGATATGATTAATACACTGTTTCTGACACTGTAGCTGTCGAACCTACTTTTGCTGCTTCGCTTTAGCACTCGGAAACATAGTCCATGGCCTCTCGTGCCATTTTTTCAAAATTTCTATGAAGAACAGTGATCTCAAAACCACCCGCAATGCCTTTCGGGATTGTCGCGTGCACTTTTTCAGACAACCTTTTTGGAAATAGCTGTATATTACTTCCAACCTGTCCAAAAAATTTGTCTTCGATAAGGCAGGGTTTTCAGGCACGTATTCTCCTGTTTTCAAGTCTTGCTAGATCGCCTAGGTACATCAATTTGACAGATTTTGAGT